TAGTGAGAACATGTACTCTCAGCAAATTTCAAGTATAGAATACAGTATTATTAACTATAGTCACCATACTGTACATTAGATCCCCAGAACTTACTCATTTTAAAACTGAAAGTTTGGGGGCGCCTGGGTGGCTCAGTCAGCTGAGTGTCTGGCACTTGATTTTGGCTCAGGTCATGATCTTAGGGTCATGAGATTGGGCCCATTCCATGTCAGGCTCCGTGCTCAGCGGAAAGTCTGCTGGAGATTCTCTCTCCCTTTCCTTCTGCCCCTCCTCCTGCTCATGTGCTCTCTCTCTCTCTAAATAAATCTTAAAAAACAGAACAAAACCTGAAAGTTTGTGCCTTTGATCAACATGTCCCATTTCCACCCCTCCCATCCCAGCACCTGGCAACCAGCATTCTACTCTCTGCTTCTTTGAGTTTACCTTTTTAAAAACTACACATCTTGGGATGCCTGGGTGGCTCAGTTAAGTGTCTGCCTTCAGCTCAGGTCATGATCCCGGGATCCTGGGATCAAGCCCCACATCAGGCTCTCTGCCCAGCGGGGAGCCTGCTTCTCCCTCTGCCTGCCACTCCCCCTGCTTTGTGCTCTCGCTCTCTGACACATAAATAAAATCTTAAAAAAGAAAGTTATAAAAAAATAATAATAACCCTGTGATAAAGATGCCTGATAAGAAAAAGGCATTAAAAAATTGTGTGTGTGTGAGAGAGAGAGGGACGGAGGGAGAGGAGAGAGAGAAATGGTTACTAAAATTTTAGACGAAATGGCTGGTTTCCCTCTCTTTGTGAACTTGGGGGAAAATATTATTCCAGTTTCAATCAGGCCTGATTATTTTCTTGCCCATTTAAAAATTCTCAAAAGAATCATCTGTTTGTTGGTGAGGATCCTCAAATATTATGCTTTGCCCCATGCATGACTTAATTTTCACTTTTCTTTGTGAAAGAATCTGAACTAGGTTACAATTTCTGAACTAAAATCTTGGAAACTAGAGTTCTTAGTAGATGACTTTGTAGATAGTTGTATTTCAGCAGTGGAGTTTGTTATCTGATGGAGATTTATGAATGGACTCATGTTTCTTGAAGTGCTAGCTTCACACAGACTTGTTCACTGGCAAAAAAACATACAGATGCAGGAATAATTAGCATTTTAGAAATGGAGTGAGGAAGACGCTATTCATCCAGAAGTACTGGTAGGATTAGAATAGGACTGAGAGCGGCGAATAAGAGAAATAGAGCTAGGATGACAGAAAAAAAAGCCCAAACTCAGCCAGAACCATATGTGGAGATATGTGTTTAATGACTGTAAATATTTTACTCTTTATAATTTATTTTACTCTTAAGTTCACTTCTAGTAAGTATATAAATTATAAATAATTCATTCTATAGCATGAAATCAGTTATTCTCAAGAATCTTTTACTTATCTTTGTTGGATCCTAAATTAAAAGAACCACTTCTGGTGTTAAGAAGAGGAACTTGGGGGGTGCCTGGGTGGCTCAGTTGTTAAGCGTCTGCCTTTGGCTCAGGTCATGATCCCTCTCCCACTCCCCGTTTGTGTTCCCCCTCTCGCTGTGTCTCTGTCAAATATATAAAATTTTTTAAAAAAATAAGTAGGCAGTATGCCCAACATGGGACTTGAACTCATGACCCTGAGATCAAGAGTTGCATGCTCTACGGACTGAGCCAACCAGGTGCCCCTGGCTGTATTTTTTTAAGCAAATGATAGTGGCTGTGTAACACATTACTTCTAATGTAGGAGCTTAAAACAACATCTATTCTCTCCCACAGTTTTTGAGGGTCAGGAGCCAGGGAATGGCTTAGTTGGGTGGTTCGGGCTCAGGTCTCCAGAGGTTGCTGTCAAGCTGTTGGGTTGGGGGACTGCAGTCACCTCAAAGCTCGCCTAAGGCTGGAGAATTCACTTCCAAGCTCACTCACGTAGTCTTTTTTTTTTTTAAGATTTTATTTATTTATTTGAGAGAGTGAGTGAGAGAGAGCATGAGTGGGGAGGGGAAGGAGAAGCATGGTCCATGCTGAGCAAGGAGCCCGATGAGGGGCTTGATCCCAGCACTCTGGGATCATGACCTGCGCCGAAGGCAGCAGCTTAACCAACTGAGCCACCCAGGCGCCCCTCACTCATGTAGTCTTCAACAAGTCTCAGTTACTTGCTGGCTGCGGGCTGGTGACCTCTATTCCTGTGGGCCTCTCTGGAGGCTTCCTGCATGTTCCACCGAGTGACCTGAGAGAGCAAGCAAGCAAGAGAGCACCGCAGATGGAAGACATAGTCTCTCAAAATCTTTGAAGTGAAATACCATCACTTCTGCTGTATGCTATTGGTACCATGTGTTAGGGGACTGACTATACAGAGTGCGAATATCAAGAAGCAGGGATCATTGGGGGGCTATTTGGGGGCTGGTGACCACTGTGGCTATCAAATCCCTCAGATATTTATATCCCATTTGGTAAATTCAAAAGAACGACCTCTAACAATTTCAATTTTAAATGTATTTACATTGTACATTATGCTGCAAATTTCATCCTGATCAATTCTTTTGGGGGTAAGAGAATAACAGTTTGAAGACCACTTGCTCAGACTACTTGTTCTTCTATCCAATGTGTCCCTCTTATCATGTTCCTCTGGCTCTTTATCTCCCCCACGTGGTGTTAATTTATCTTGAAAGATATGGACAACTGATAAATGAAAGACAAACGTCAAATTGGAAATCCTAATTTGGGTACTGATTTGTAAATGGGAGAGACTGCTTCATATCTGGACTGTCCCTGAAAATCCAAGACTTCTGGATATGAATAAGAAAATGTATCAAGAGCTTTACTTTTTAAGAAACAGCATTTAGTGGGGCATCTGGCTGGCTCAGTCAGTAGAGCATGCGACTCTAGGTTTGTGGGTCGTGAGTTCAAGCCCCACATTGGGCATGGAGCCTACTTTAAAAAATTAAAAATGGCATTTATTAAACAGCTAAGTGCCTTCCATGAGCAAGACACTGTAGAGCTGTGAAAGACACCAAAAGAATATAATCTAGGATCTACTGAAGTTATAAGCTGGAGAACATGGTGCCTGGATGTTCAGGAGATGATATTCTAATTGTGTTTAAAAATTGTATACAATGGTCACATTTTTATGGGATACAGCTTTTTTAATTTTATTATTATTTTTTAGGTAGGCTCCACACCCAGCCTGGAGCCCAAGGCAGAGCTTGAACTCATAACCCTGAGATCAAGAACTGAGCTGAGGGGAGGGAAGGAAAAGTAAGATGAAATCAGAGAGGGAGACAAACCTTGAGACTTTTTTTTAAAAAAGAGTTTATTTATTAGAGAGAGAGAAGAGAGACACCAAGGTGGGGGGAAGGGCAGAGGGAGAGGGAGATGCAGACTCCCTGCTAAGCAGGGAACCCAACGTGGGGCTCCATCACAGGACCCTGAGATCATGACCTGAGCTGAAGGCAGACACCTAACCGACAGAGCCACCCAGGCTCCCCTCATGAGACTCTTAATCATAGGAAACAAACTGAGGGTTGCTGGAGGGTATGTGGGTGGGGGGATGGGGTAACTGGGTGATGTGCCCTCCTTAATGCCCATGATGTAATGAGCACTGGGTGTTACATGCAACTGATGAGTAACTGAACTCTACCTCTGAAACTAATACACTATATGTTGGTTGAATTTAAATGGAAAAAAAGATGGTTTCTACAAAACAACAAAACTGAGCTGAGATCAAGAGCCAGAAGCTTAACTAACTGAACCACCCAGGTACCCCAAGGGATACAATTTTTTTTAAAGTTGTGTGCAATTTACAGAGGTGAAATTCGGCTTGCTTTTTGATTAAGTATGCCAGATGTTTATATTTAATGAAGGCATACCTCAGATGAACATACCAGGTTCAGTTAAGCCAAAAATGCAAAGCCAGTAACCATGGATAACAACTGTTGGAAAGATGCTGAGATTTTAATGAGGCAAACCACAATGAACCTGTTTAAACCACAGTTTGTGTATTTTATTAGGAACTAGCCTTGAAAGTTCACCGAGCAAGGCTATATCCTATTCCTAACAATTTACCACTTCATAATGGAGAAAAGGCTGTTCGACTCACTCTTAAGTGGAAAATGTGTTATGTCCTACTTGTATAAATTTTAGTTGAACCAAAAGAGCAATAAGCATCCAATGCTTTTAGAATGTTTTTCTTCAGTACTATAAACACTCTCACTCAACTACACAGAGCTAAAATTATACAAAGGAAACCAAATACAAACTGCTTTGGGAAATCTCCAGTCTAAGCTCACGAACCAAGCAGAACTGACTTTTTAAAAAGTTGGCTGGAAGATTCTAGCTCCTGTGCTCACACAGATGAGGAGTTAGTGGTAGGATTCTAGAATCTGTAAGAGTTTGCAGACCCTCTGCCCACAGCGCCAAGAAAACGCGCGTTCAAAGAGTTCGCGTTCATTTCCCTCCACCAAGCCCTGCTCATTACAATGGACGTCGCCGCTGGCCGCACGCTGGGCGCGGATAGCCCGGCTGGACACTGCACTTGTCTCCGGGAGGCTGGCGCGTGGACCGGGCTTCTCCGCCGTCCTGCGTCCCAGGCGTTTCGTGGTTGGCTCATTCCCCCGACCACACCGGGCCAGGCGCCCCTTCGTGTCCGTCCTGGGCCGCAAGGCTGTTTCTGTAGCCCGTGCAGTGAAAAAGATACAGGGATCCTAACCAGATGGGGGACCCAGACCACCGACGCGGGCGGACGCGCTTCTGAAGGCCTACTCGCGAGCTCCCGCCTCCCTCGCGGCGGTCACCCGAGGACACAGCCGAGGCCAGGATGGGTCGAGTAAGGACGTCTCGCCCAGCGTCCGAGCAGGCGCCGGCCGCACCCGGGGGGATGGAAGGGAAGGGCTGAGGGGAGGGGAGGGGGCGGGGCGCCGGCACGGGGCGGGGCGAGCGAGGGGCTCCCGGCATGCCGCGCGGCGCCCGGCTTCCGGCTGTGGGCGGTGCGGGGACCGGCGGCAGCCGGAAGCGGGTTGAGCCGCCCTCTCGGAGCGCTGCCTGCACTTCCGGGGGCCTCAAGCCGGGCTCTAGAGTCTTCCGGTAGGCGGCGCGGGAGGAAAAAGAGGCTTGAGGGGCAGGGCCGGGCGGATGCCCTTCACTCCCAATGTGAGCAGTGTCCCAGGCCCCCGTCAGGCGAAGGCTGCCCAGAGAGGTGGAGCCGGTGGCCGGGCCGGGAACATGAGGCACTGTCTCCTCTTCTTGACCAGCGTGGTTCCTTTCGTGGTGGCGCCGCGACCTCCGGACGATTCCCCGGAGCGACTCGGTAAAGACCCGGGAGAGTTGGCTTAGGGCCGGCGCCGGGCGCCTGGAGCGCGCTGCTTTCGGGGAAAAGCAGGGGACCAGGATCTTTCAGGGGTCTAGGGGCGGAGTATTGGACGGTGGCGCGTCCCTAAGTTTTCGGTGCAGGAAGGGGGTGTGGCTCTCGGAGTTTAGAGAAGGAAGGGAGAAGGGCTTGTCTTTCTGAATGGGAAAGGGCTACTGGAAGGGGCTCCCGGTAGTGACTGAGGGCCTGGGAGGGGTCTGCCTCCTGAGTTTGTGTTTTGGGATTGTGTTTGGGAAAGCGGTAAGGGGGGTGGTGTTGGCTCGTGTTTGGGGAAGGAGATGTGGTCCAGGTCCCTGCCCTACTAAGGTGTTCCTACCAAAGCCAGGACTTGGAGGGGGGGCGGGTGCGGATAGGAAGGGCCCAAAGCTCCAGCAGCTCTTCCTGGCTCTGCAAGGAGCGAACTAGAATTTCTGCTGTAGGAGGTTCTTTATGTAGTAATCTGGTTGGAAGGCGGTGACTGGAGAACTCATCTTGGACTTGAGTTTTGCGAACTTTGTAAGCATGTACTTACTTAAATTGTAGCTTATTGGGGGTGCTGGGAGGGGGCGCTTGAACCTACCACGCCAACTCTTTGATACCGCTTGAATGCCTTCCTTGCCATTTTAAACAAAGAAATTATCAGGGATGACCAATTTGATTAGTTCTGAGTCCAGGAAGTAGAGGATTCATATTTAGATTTTCTTTTTTTTTTCAACTAACACCTTTTTTGAAATTTAAATTCAATTTACTTAACGTATACTGTATTATTAGTTTCAGGGGTGGAATTTAGTTATTCATCGGTTGCATATAACACCCAGTGCTCATTACATCAGGTGCCCTCCTTAATGCCCATCACCCAGTTGTCCCCTCCTCCACCCAGTCTTTAGATTTTCTGAAGAGATTGGGTTTTAGGATGGACGTACATTAAGAGATGTGAAATTTGTGTAAACTTACGAAGTGTTAGGATTCTTTGCCTTACAAAAGTTGACATATAAGACAGTTTAGTAATTAAGAATGAAACAGTATATTTTCCCAGTGTGCAAAGTTGATTTTTCATGGTTGTATTGGTCTCCAAATCCCACCATGATTCCATGTGTAGTGTTATGCAGATTGAGACTGCATGTGGGTTTTCTTTATATCTAATTAAAACTTTCACATTAGTTTACTGGCAGTTTTTTTAATGGACAGAAATTGTAATTGACTGAGGGTATTAAAGCTGTTGAGTGTTCTCACCTGAACAGCTGTTTTGTGGTTATCTCAAATTGAAATGGATTACAGGTGACTGGTGTAATGAAAGGCAAGGGAGCTTGTTAGGAAGGGCTGAGATGTGATAAGTCAGTACATATTGAAGGAAAATTTTGAGGTAGTGGTGGTCAGGATGGAGGGATAGAGTAAGGATCTACTTCATAAGGATAAATGTTAATAGAAACAAACATGTATTTTGGTATTAAAATTAAATTTCTACTGTAACACAGCTGTTGCATTTTTATTATGCTCTTGTTCACAGGTGGAAAAATAAGTAGCATGAATCCTAAGGATGTCCATAGTAAAAAGGAAAACGTTACTTTCTAGATGAATCCTCCACAACATTCACAGATCATGGAGGGGTTTTTTTTGACTGTGTGTTTTTTATTTGCAAAATGCTGACCACCAGTGCCAGAAAAATGCATAGCCTTACCCATTTATTCACAAAATGTTAGAAGAGCACATACCGTATGCAAGTATTTTGTGTGGCATTGGAGATAGATCAGACAATATGCAACTTCAAAAAGCCTTTGCATAGTGGTACAGAGAGATCTAAACAGACAATTCCAAAAACAACATGGAGGAGAGTGATACAATACATTACGGCAAGTATTATTATCATGAAGAGGCACTGAATCTAGCCTGGGAAAGTTATCGAAGGCTCCCTGAAGGAGGTGATACTCAAGCCCAGACTTTAAGTTTAGGTAGGTGAAGAGGGAAAATAAGGACACTCCTTGGTGGGGGTACTTACAAACTGTAGAGCTGAAAGGAACCTTATAGATCATGTTTTAGTTTTTCAAATAAAACAATAGGAAAAATGAGCCTCAGAAAGGTGTAGTGAGTTGTCACATTCTCACAGTGATAAGTATATGCCTTGTGGGTATTTTTTCTTCTGAAGAATGACTTTGTGTGTGTGTGTGTGTGTTTGTGTTTGATGGCTCCAGATGTGATTAGTTGCTTAGCTTTAGCATTATTTAGATTGAACTGGTCAAGATCAAAGAGTAGTTTTATAGTTAAAGAGTGTGGTTTATTGTAGTCTGCTCGTCTTATAAATGTTACCATAAACTCAGTATTAAATTTCTTTTTTAAGTAAACACTACCCGCCATGTGGGGCTCAAACTCACAACCCTGAGATCAAGAATTGCATGCTGTACCAACTGAGCCAGCAAGGTGCCCCTCAGTACTAAATATTGATTAGGGATTTGATAACTTTTTTTTTATTTTTTAATTTTTTTAAAAGATTTTATTTATTTATTTGAGAGAGAATGAGAGAGAGCACATGAGAGGGGGGAGGGTCAGAGGGAGAAGCAGACTCCCTGCTGAGCAGGGAGCCCGATGCGGGACTCGATCCCGGGACTCCAGGATCATGACCTGAGCCGAAGGCAGTTGCTTAACCAACTGAGCCACCCAGGCGCCCCGTAACTTTTTTTTTTTAATTTTACTTATTTATTTGAGAGAGATAGTAAGAGCGGGTTAGGTGCAGAAGGAGAGGGAGAGAGAGAGAGAAGCAGACTTCCCGCTGAGCAGGGAGCCTGACGTGGGGCTCGATTCCAGGACCGTGAGATCATGACCTGAGCTAAAGGCAGATGCTTAACCGACTGAGCCACCTAGGCACCCTGGGATTTGACAACATTTTTCTGAAGGATAGAAACATATACTAGAATCCTGGCTTTTGGAGTACTCCACAGGACACCCAAGATGATTTCAGTTGAACTGTTATGAATTGCATAATTCAGGAAAGTTATGAGTCATGTGAACTTAGTCATGATATCTTGTTGAAGTTGCAGCTGGGGTGTATAAGTCTCACTTTGATTTCAAAAGTGTTTTCCCTTTGTGTTACTTTTAATAAAAGAGGATGTAGTGGGTGGAGGGAAAAAATATAGGTCACAGATGAGGGATGAAGGTTTGTATCTGAAACATTTTGAAATTTACCTTGAGGTTATTGGTGTGGGGATTCTCCACATTGCAGTGCTTGTTTTTCATTATTGACAGCCCCATTTTGCTCAATATTTTGACATCTGGCTTCCTCTTTTGATGTTAATTTTGCTTACAAGCTACATTCCTTTGAAACTGAAACACTTAACCACCCTAACTGTTCCAAGGGAGATTTTAATGCCAGTCTGCTTTGAACTAGTCGAAGAGATAAACTGTATTTCTAGAATAGAATGAAGAGTTAAGCAGAGAGCCATGGTGGAGACATTGGGAGAAATCCTTTTGGCTTTTACTGAGTTTCCAGAACATTAAGTGTAGGTGTCCTTTGAGGCCAAATGTCATTGATTTTTGGGTTCTTTACCATTTTGTATTTGTGAGGGATGGTGTTTTCAGTTGGAAGTATAATTTAAAGAAAGTCTGAAAAAGATTGATGGAGGGAAAGAGGAGTAGGAAATTGGTTTTACTGAGGTAGGGAAGTGAAATAAAGTGCTTTTTCATATATCCCTTAACTTAGCCCTAAAATCAACCAAGGGATTGGTATCTACCTCCCCACACCGCTTCTTTCTCTCTTCCTTTCTTTTCTTTTAACATGAGTTGTAGGCCCTGACAAGTCTCATCTGCTGCTCTGGTTTCACTTACATTTGATTGTTATTCTGATAACTACTAAATATGTACTCTGATCTAGACTTGTTCGCTGAAGCTCCATACTCATGTATCCAACTGCCCACTTGATATTATGGAAGTAGTCTCATTGCCTATCCTGAATTTGTGTCCCTTTCAGCTACAGAGCTGTATGGACCAATCCCGGTTTCCTTAGAGATTCCCTTGGGTTGTGCAGACTTTTATTTGGGCTCAGAGTTTCCGTGTGACTGGTCTTGCTGGAGAATCTTGGCCCTGGTGAAGAGTTCTTGATAGGGAATTACTGAGGCAGCTCATCCTCCATCCCCCCTAACTGGTGTAAACCCAGAAAATTTTTTAGTTCCCAGGCTCTGGGCTCCACTGCCTAGCAGAGAGCACTGTTCTCCTTTTCCTCATCCTTTAGTCCCAGGGAGGGATTCACCCACATCTGGGGCCTACTTCACAGTAACTTGGCCAGGTCACTGCCTTCTCCTGCATCATTTGGGGAGTCCTGAAGTGCATTCAGGTCTCATGTGTCTTCTACACAAGCAGACTGAACACTTCATAGCAGTCCTGGCTTTTTCTTTTCCACTTCTGACACCAGAAGATGACACTGATAGTGTCATCTTGGGAAACTCTTTGTACTCCACACAGCAGAGCAGTTGAGAGTGAGCAGAGGGCTACAGGGGTTCTGCATTATACTTGCAAGTTATAGTCCAAGAATATTCAATTTATTGCAAAAAGAAAAGAGAAATTAAGTAAAAAGTCCACAAGTGTTCCTGGACTCTTGTCATACAACAGTTGATTGTTTTTATCCTGGGACACCTGGGTGGCTCAGTGGGTTAAGCGTCTGCCTTTGGCTCAAGTCATGATCCCAGGGTCCTGGGATCGAGTCCCACATCGGGCTCCCTGCTGAGCAGGGAGCTTGCTTCTCCCTCTGCCTGACGCTCCCCCTGCTTGTGCATACTCTCTGACAAATAAATAAAATCTTTAAAAAAATAAAACTTAAAAAAAATTGGTTTTGTCTTAAAAGTGTTGACTCTGGGCTTGATGAAAGAAATATGGGTATAGTTTGTCACTGTATCAGTCAGTGGCCATAAGAGCATATCCCAGAGATGAAACAATTTGGGTGTAAAAGAAGGATGGAGTGGTAGGTTTCTGAAATC